GTCTCAATATAACGGACTATGTAACGGAATTTCTTGTTTTAAACAGGCAGCTGCACCTTCCTTCAGTGTTTTTATCATAACGTTGTATTCTGATATCCTATTGAGGCGATGCAAAATGCGTTGGAAAGATAACTCATCTGGCTACAACTTTAATTCAAACATCATTCTCCAATTCGATCAATTCCTACGCCAAAAATAGGTCACAATATGAGACTAAAATACCGGAGCATAACTTTTCGGTTGGAAATTGATTTGTAATCATCTTTTGACTAAATTTGATCCATTTGACATCTTCCTTTATACAATTGACTCCGAGCACTCTCAAATCTTCATCGTGTGATTTGGCACAACTTTTAAGTATTTACATTTTAGCACCCCGAACTTTGGATCACTTACAATTTAGCCATTTCTCCAAATTTGTCTACTTTTGCTTATTTTCTTCAATCTCACCAACCTACATCACAATATCAAAATCACACATCTAATTATTTATCAGTTACATAAACATTACATCATTAATTATTTGTAGGGTGTCTGTTTCTGTTTTTCAGCAGAAATCAAGCCGTTGGCAACACAATTCATGCAGTGGGGAGCCGCAATTTTGGACCAATTCTCTCACTATAGGGCTGTAGGTTTGAAAAAAAAATGGGTAACATAATCAATTTTCCTTCCTCCTTGTAGCGCGCCCACGCCCTTAATTAATCAAAAAAAATTACATTTTTATTAATAACAAATTAATTATCAAACAAAAATATTAAATATAAACTAAGCAAACGTGCATTGCACATTACTTGCACCTAGTGTGTGTATGTATGTATATATATATATTATGTCCTTTTAATATTCTCTTCTTCCATTTTACAAACTCTATGGTTATAAAAATTTATTATTTTTTCTACTACGAGTTATGTTATTCACTTTTCTCTCTTTTTTGTTGTTTCTCTTCAATCTCTACCAAAAAAATGGAATTAAAATTCTTGTAACATTTTTTTTTCATCCAATTCTTTATGTAAAAGATCAAATTTGTAATAAAATTTTATATTAAAAAAGACTAATTTTTCATTAAATTTACAATATATTACTTGAAATATATATATATAAATACTTTTTTATATTTTAGTTAATTAAGGTGATTTAATATTTTTTCTTTTAAAAATATTTTTTTATTACATGGGTGAATTGGATACCGATCCTCGGCCTTTTATGTGGGAATTCAAGTGATTTTTTATTTTAAATGAAAGTTTTCGAAATTCATACAAATTCTTCAAAAGTTTATAAAAGTTTTAAAATCAAAGTCCATAAAAATTCCACTAATTTTATACAAATCTATAAAAGTCTACGAAATCCACAAAAGTCTTCACTTAAAAAGAAAGTCAATAAAAGTTTTCAAAAATCCAATTAAATACACCCCTAAGATTAAATCGTACATCTTGTAACATGAACGTGTAAAATTTTCAGTTAAAAAATAGATGTTAAACTGAGTCAGTTGTTTGAATATAACATTTTGTAAAGTTCAATTGCGTGCCTGAATCAAATTAAAGTTCAATGGCCGTGCGTGAAATTAATCCTTCTTTTGTTTTTCTTCCTTTATTATTATTACTATTGTTTTTTTTATTTTTTTGAAAAATAACCGCTACACTCTCAATCAAATTTTGATTATTTAAATAATTTTTTTGTTGATTAACGTGTTAACGTCAGAATTAAATAAGTTATTTTTTAAGTAACTAATGATTTTTTTTTTTTGGAAACATATTTAAAAATGAAATAAAACTTAAAAGTATTTTTAAGTATTAACACGTGCACAATTTTACTTCTGTACATGTAATTCATGTTTGATTCAATTTAAAAGAAAATTACAATTTAGGCCAAAAGTTAACAATTAATCATGATCATATATTTCATGAAATTCACAATTTTTAACCACATATTCTATTAACTTTTACCAAAATCTATTAAAAAAGTAGCCCCTGTTTGATGGGGATTAAAATTAAATTTTAATAGATTTTGATAAAAGTTGATGAAATATTTGATTGAAAAGTTGTGGATATCATGAAATGTGTAATTAAAACTTACTGTTGATTTTGACTTAGATTACAATTTGAAATTTAATCGCTATTAACATGGGCTTAATTTTTATCTAAACCAAACATGAACATAATAAAATTTGTAGTAAGTCTATTTGTACATTGTCTAGATGCAAAACTACATTGGACACTGTCAAAAAAATGCAGTGTTGGCAGCCAATGCAGTGCTGCAAACACTTGTACAGGACAATTCACCATGTACAAGTAGCAGATCTCTAAAATTTGTTAAGAAATGGTTGATGGTCTAAATGGGACTATTTGCTAAATATCTAGCACTTGCGAAAATACTTGAACTTGTAATTAATAGCGGTCCATTGTGAGATTTTGATTGCTCGATACAAAATTTAAAAGAGTGGCCATCTTTAATTTAAGAACAA